CACACAAATGCACAGGGCATGTCTTCATGAATTGGGGGCTGGAATACAGCCATATTCCTCTTTTTCTGCATGGAACTATATCCTGTGCCATTATATTTGGAAATCCTTAATTTGTTTCTTGATTTTAAAAGATGTGACAATAAAGGGAATGTCTTGAGTGTCAGAAAAGACTTTTGATATTTGTGCTGTTTGGGCTGTTTCAGATTATGAGGATCATTGAAGTTAGACTAAATGCATTTTCACTTTTGCTATTTTTCTTTATATTAGTTCTTCCCTCAAATAATACATTCTGACTTCAGCCTCCCCTTCCTCCACTCCTTCCAGCACCCCCACCTCCATTTCCATAGAACCACTGCTACTCTGTTTCCTTTCAGAATAGAACAGGCCTCCCAGGGATTTCAACCAAACACATCATAACATGGTATAATACGCCTCATATCAAGGTTAGACAAGGTAACCCAGTAGGGGAAAAGGGGTCCCAAGAACAGGCAAAAGAGTCCAAGACACCTCGACTCCTATAATTAAGAGTCTCACAAACACCCCAAGTTAAACAATCAAAACAGGTATGGAGAGGCCCTGGCACAGAGCCATGTAGGCTCTATGATTGCCACTTCAGTTTTTCTGAGACCCTATGAGCCCTGCTTAGTTGATTCTGTAGGTCATGTCATGTTCTATCAACCTCTCTGGCTCCTACAATCCTCACCCCTCCTTCCAGAGGATACCTAGAGATCAAGTTAATGTTTGTGTAGAGATCCCTGCATGTGTTCCCATCAGCTGATGAAAAAAGCTTCTCTGAGGACAGTTGGGCTAGGCACGAGTGTATGATTATAGCAGAATATAGTTACAAATCATTTCACTGATTTATTTTCTTCATCTCTTGTATTTGGTTCTACCCTACTTGTCTGAGCCATCCAAGTACTGGTTCTTGGCCATCCAGGCAGTGTTAAGCACGGGCTTCCTCTCACAACTTGGTCAAGTTAGATCAGTCATTGGTTGGCCACTAAAGAAGCTCTGAACCACCATTGCTCCCGCATATCATACAGGTGGGACAAATGTGAGTTGAATGTTTTGTGAATAGCTTGGTGTCCTAGTACTGCCATGGGGAGCCTTATGTGGTTGCAGAAGATGGCTGATTCAGCATCCATATTCTTGATTACTAGGAGTCCTTTCTAGGGTCACCCTTATAGGTTCCAGGACATATGCAATGCTTTAAATTTCCACACCCCATGCTGAAAGTTGCCCTATTCCACTCACCTCTCCTTGTATTTTCTCCCATGCCCCTTCTGTACTCACTTGATCCTTCCTGTTTCCATCCTCACCTGCCTCCAGTGTACTCACAAAATCTATTTCCTTTTCCCAGGGAGGTCCATGCATCTCCCCTAGAGTTGTTCTTGTTACTTAGCCACTCTTCATCTATGGACTCTATGTGATTAACTGTGATTACTGTGATTATACCTAATTAACTGCTAATATCCACTTAGAAGTGAGTATACCATGTTTGTTTATGTGCTTCTGGGTTGCCTCACTCAGGATAATAATGAACTCAAGAAACTAGACAACAAACCAAATAATCAAATTATAATGGGGTACCTCTCTAAACAGAATTCTCAGTAGAGGAATCTAAAATTGCTGAGAAACACTTCAAGAAATGTTCAACATCTTTAGCCATCAGAGAAATGCAAATCAAAACTACTTTGAGATATATCTGTCCGAATTGTTAAGATCAATAACACAAGTGAAAGCTGATGCTGACAAGGACGTGGAGCAAAGGGATCCATTGCTGTTGCAAGTGAAAACCTCAAGACCCAATTATAACATGCTTGGGCATATACCCAAATGATGCTCTTCCATCCTAGTGCAAGGACACTTGCTCAACTAAGTTCATAGTGGCTTTGTTCATGATAGACATGAACTGCTGTGTCTGTGAGAAATTTTTGTTGATTGATGTAGAAAGGCTTTTTGACTGAGGGTGGCAGTATCCCCAAGAAAGTGGCTCTAGGATAGAAAAAAGAGCTATTTGAACATAAAACAATGACTAGGCAAGAGAGAAAGCCAAGAAAAAAACTTTGCCCATGGGTTTTGCCTTCAATTGTTAGCTTGAGTTTCTATCCTATGGTGCTAAATGTTGGATTGTGATCAGACAAAATCAATCAAATAAACCCCTTCATTTCTTGAGATGCTTTTGGTTGGAGTATTTAATAATAGCAGCATAAAAGCAAGTAAGAACAAAAAAAAAATGGAACACCAAAATTGGTTGTGTTGCTAGGTAGAAAACCTGTGAATGTTTTCCTTTGGAAGAATGTGGAAGATATCAACACCTTGGGTGGCAAAAACCATAGAAAACTGTACACAGAACTTAACTGTTTCTGCAGGACCAGGAAGATGAGATTGTTGAGTAATGGCAGGAAGTGAAGGCTGAGATCATAGGATTTCAGACAGAAATAGGTAGACTCCATAAAAAAATATGCTGGAGATCATATCATTTTGTGATATTTTGGCTCCAAAATCTTTCTTATTCTGCCTATACCCTGAAAATTTAGTAAGGCAGAATTAAAATATAATGGGCTAATTTCTTTTTCTGGAATATTGAATCTGGTTATTCCTGATGACTCATTCAGGTCTACAATAAAAATTAAAAAAAAAAAAAAAAAACAAGTTGGGCAGAAATAAATGAAAATGAAAAGGTAGCTTCAGGTGGCCAACAAGTGTTCAAAGAGGCAGGAATTTTCAAGGAGTTTATCACCATTATACAGAAGGCCCTTGATCTCAAATGGAAGCCTAGCAAGATACCATAAGGGTAGGACATCATCCAGCTAAAGCTTCAATTTATGGAGGAAATAAGCAAAGTGATTCCTAGTCCCAGGAAGCAACTTCATACAAAACCTGCTGCACCTGTGGTCCAAGCATGTTAGTGTCCATCCCAATTAAGAAGCTAGACTTTGCAGACTCACCCATCATGACCCTGGAAAAAAGGAAGCATCAAAGTTTTAGGTAACGAACCCTTAGCCTGTTGTTTCAGAGAGAGATGTATGAGAAGTTGCAGGGATAGGGCCATCTAAGCCTTTGAAACTGGAGCCCCATGTGTCTGAGACAGAGCTACAGGATTTGATGGTTTTCCTTTGTGCTTCAGTCTCTCATTTGTCCAGTCTTTCCTCAATATGTCTCCTTTCCTCTCTTTTGGAATAATAAGTGATATTTTGTGTCACTGTATGTTGGAAAGATATAACTTATTTTTTGATTTTACAAGAAGTCACCATCAAGAGATTATCTTGAATGTCAGAGTAGATTTTGGATATTTGAACATTATAGAGGCTACTGAAGACTATGAATGTCTTTGAAGTGACAAAATGCATTTTTTTTCATGAATGGCCATGAGCCTATATTGTCCTGGGTCATAATGTAGTTGATTGAAGGACAAACCTCCCAGATAGGATGATGTATTTGAACATATTTCTCTCCTTGAGGACTTTATTTCTGGATGAAATTCCACATTGGGGATGGGTTATGAGCATTTATAGACTTAGCTGATTTCCTGGTCTGTGTTTCAACTCTGTTGTGGTTGAAATTCATCAGTCATCATTTTTCTTGTGCTGTAATGCCATCACCACCATTATAGACTATGCCTAAATCACATAAGATACAGTAGAAGCAATTGCTATTTAGTGCTAAGCCAGTTTGCTAGCCTACTGTCTTAATTTTTTGTTTGGTTGTTTTTGATGACAAGGTCCATCTGTGTCACCCTGGCTGTCCTGAAAGTAGTTCTGTACACCCAGCTGATCTCAAAGATCCCCCTGACTCTTGCTTCCAAGTGCTGGGATTAAACATGGGCCGAAATTCCTGGCTTTTTTTTATTTTATTATTATTATTATTGTTGGGTCATGGGCCTGGAAAGCAGGTTTTTGTACATGGCAAGCATATGCTGTTGTACTGAGCTTCATCCCTATACTGAATTTTGAAATTTGGTAGATGGTATCATTCTGTTTCCCATGATGGCATGTATTCATGACATCAATACTGCTCTTGACTTTGTCATTGGATTTCAGGTGCAACGACATTCTTCCTGCCTATTGTATTTGTTTTGAAATTTTTTTAATGAATGTGAGTATTTTGCCTGTAAGCATGGATATGCATCATATGGGTAACTGGTCCTCACATTGATCAAAAGATGGTCTCAGAAACCCTGAACTTGGAATAATGGATAGTTTTGATTCCCTATGTAAATGTTGGCAATTGACCACACCTATATGCAAGACCAGCAAGAGTTCATTACTACAGAGCCTCCTCTCGTGCCCTGTGTTGATGATTTATTATCAACATTTATATTGCTAATGTTTTTATCTGTCCATTTGTAACTGTTTAAACATTCAGTGCCTTTTAGAAAGATCTTATTCATGTGACAGATTAAAGTGGGGTACTTCAGCTTTCTAGAATATGAATACAGAAGTGAAATGAATGCACAACTCTTTGTAGAGACTCAGTAAATAATCTCTGAGTTCTTTTTATATTTTTTGTTTGTTTGATTGATTTTTGCACAGGAAACAGGGTCCCAATATGTACTTCTGGCTGTCCAAGAACTGATTGCATATACTAGGCTAGCACTCAATTCACAGGCAGATATACCTGCCTCTCCCACTGAGTGCTGTGTTTAAAGGATGAGCCAATATACCCAGCTTGTTCATCTTATTTTTCTTTTTTGTGCTTAGTAATATAATTTATCTTATGTGTAGTCTGTACTGTTGATGTGTTTACTTGTTTCTCTGTGTTTGTTAATAGACATTTCTGTTGCAAGGTCATATCCCATTCAAAAAGTACAGAAATGACAGAGTTGAACCTCCTATTCAGTATTGTTCTAGAGTGACTTGATGATTCAAATATAATGTCTGTGTCATGAAATAAGTGTGTGGAGCACCAGAATTACATACTATGCTGTCAAAGAAGTATACATTTGCAATGTTGTCAGTGTCATGCTTCCTGTTGTACCCATATATGGGATATTTCAGAATGCAGTGACCTATGATGATGTGCATGTCAACTTCACCTGGGAAGAGTGGACTTTGCTGGATCCTTCCCAGAAGAATCTCTACAAAGATGTGATGTTGGAGACCTACAGGAACCTCACTACTATAGGTAAGACTGAATTTTCCTTCATGAAAAGAAGGGGACAACTATTCCTTGCCTATTTATTTTCTTCTGTAATTTGATTGAGAAAGAAGAATGGGGTGAATAAATCAGGCATGGTTCTAAGGTTTCTTGAAGATAGTAACTTAAATTTTGCACAATTTTTAATAATATACTATACATTTTCTGAAACTATGTTTTAGGATACAGCTGGGAAGACCATAATTTTGAAGAACATTGTAAAAGTTCTAGAAGACGTGAAAGGTAATTTTCATTTGCAAAATGAAACAAATGTGCCTTTGAAGAAACTGTAATGTGTCCTGAAAGTTTCAAAGAAAAGCAACAGTGTAAATAAGCACAGCTTAAAATGCATTGATGGTTATTAAATTCTCACAACACTATAAACCTCAAGTTCAGGTGGGTGAATTACATTTACAAGGCATTCTTTTCAGAAAGAAGACATGAAAACAATGCCTTACCAGATGTCACCATTTGAACCAAAGTCCCATGAGTGCTGTGCTGTAAAACTGCCAATCCACTTAGTTTTGTACCACATATATTACAAAAGGTAAACACATTTTAGAGGTAATAGGTATATGTCAAAAACCTACTAATAAGCAAACAGTCATAGTAAAGCTAGTGTTAATCATATATTTGTGACTTTGCTAAATTTAGTGAGAGGGGCACTTAGAATCAAGAATCAAGGGCCATTGTGGAGAAACATTAATATCTATACAACATGTCTGTGAGAAACAAACTCACACTGTCAGTTCAATGTGGAAACTTTTTTTTCAAAGATTTATTTATTTATTATGTATACAGCATGTATGACTGCAGGCCAGAAGAGGGCATCAGATCTCATTACAGATGGTTGTGAGCCACCATGTGGTTGCTGGGAATTGAACTCAGGACCTCTGGAAGAACAGTCAGTGCTCTTAACCTCTGAGCCATCTCTCCAGCCCTCAAAGTGGAAACTTTTTTTGTCATTCTTCCTTTGCCATGTATATCATATGTCACTCTGGATACAAGCCACATGAACATGGATATGGAAGGATGTAACATACCTCTCAGAATAATTAGAATATATGTAGCAGTTCCCATGTTGAGTAGACATGTTGAATTTGATTCAAGTATACAAGTAATTGGTTTTCCAGCTTCATTGTTAATACATCCACAAACTCACACTGCAGAAAAGCCCTGTGAATACTAGGAATGTGTGAATAGTTCTGTTTGATATAGTTTACTTAGAAAATGTAGTATGACTCACAGTATAAGAAAATTTATGAAAGCAATATGTATGGTAAAGCAGAGTTTTTCCAGTTCTCTTGAAATATGTGAAAATTTTCATATAGAAAAAGATATTTTAAATGTGAACCGTGTAATAAAGGCTCTTACCATCACAGGTATCTTCAAAGATGCAAAACAACCCTTCATGGAGGGGAACAACATGAGTGTAAGCACAGTATAAAACCTTAAAATCTCATTCCTCTTTACAACTGGACCAAATTGTAAAATTAATTAATTCAGATATAAAGATTCAACTGTGTATTGAATGTGATAAATCTTTTACATGTGCCAATTATCCTTGCAGGCATGAAAGGAGTCATACTGGAGAGCAACCTTCTGAATATACTCAATGTGTTAAAGCCTTTGTATATGACGAACATCTTCAAAGGCATGAAAGAATACATACTGGAGAGAAACCCTGTGAATGTAATGCATGTGATAAAGTCTTTGTACATCACAGTAGTCTCCAAATCCATATAAGTACCTGTACTGGACAGAAACTCTATGAATGTGATGAGTGTGGCAAAGCCTTTGCTCATTACTGTACTCTTCAAATACATAAAAGAATACATACTGGAGAGAAACCCTATGAATGTAATCAGTGTGGTAAAGGCTTTACTTCTCACAGCAGTCTCAGAATACATAAAAGAACACATACTGGAGAGAAACCTTATGAATGCAATCAGTGTGGTAAAGGTTTTTCACAACTCAGTCATCTTCAAATGCATAAAAGAACTCATACTGGAGAGAAACCCTATGAATGTAATCAGTGTGGTAAAATCTTTGCACGTCCCAGTACTCTTCAAGTGCACAAAAGAACACACACTGGAGAGAAACCCTATGAATGTAATCAGTGTGGTAAATCCTTTGCTTCTCACAGCAGTCTTGGAACACATAAACGAACACATACTGGAGAGAAACCCTATGAATGTAATCATTGTGGTAGAGCCTTTGCTCATCACTGTACTCTTCAAAGGCATAAAAAAACACATACAGGAGAGATACCCTATGAATGCAATCAGTGTGGTAAAGCCTTTGCACGTCAGAGTGGTCTTCAAATGCACAAAAGAACGCATACTGGAGAGAAACCCTACGCATGTAATCAGTGTGGTAAAGCCTTTGCACGTCACAGTAATCTCCAAATGCACAGAAGGACACATACTGGAGAGAAACCCTATGCATGTAATCAATGTGGTAGAGCCTTTGCAGAACAAAGAAGTCTCCAAATACATAAAAGATCACATACTGGAGAAAAACCTTGTGAATGTAATCAGTGTGGTAAAACCTTTGTATGTCAAAGTAATCTCCGAATACATAAAAGAAGACATACTTGAGCGAAATCCTATGAATGTATTCAATGTGGAAATGCCTTTGCACATCAATGTCATCTTCAAAGACATAAAAGTACACATACTTGAGAGAAATCCTATGAATGTAATCAATGTGGTAAAGCCTTTGCCCAACACTGTACTCTTCAATGGCATAAGACAACACATACTGAAGAGAAAACCTATGAATGTAATCAATATTGGAAAGCCTTTACACATCACAGTGATCTTCAAATGAATAAAAGAACACATTGGATGTTAAAACACCATGTGGCAGTCATAGCAGTTGAGAAACTCTGGGAAAGATACACCTTATATACATGGCATCCATGTGGAAAGTTTTATTGGGGGAAGGGAGAAGGGAAGAGAAGAAAGAAGAGAAAGAAAAATGGAATAAAAGAAGAGAGGACATGCACACTACCTCATAACTAGAGAGAGAGGAAGGAAGAGAGAAGTAGAGGGAGGGTTTTTTTCTCAAAGGGGGCTTTACATAAGATGACATGGTCAGGATGCTGGGCAGGTTCTTTTTGATATGGAGAAAATTATTCACAGGTATCAGTGTGTATCATAGCTAAAACAAAGCTTTATTTAACTTCATGTAAATAAAAAATGAAGAATTGGATGGTTAGTTAAAAATAGTTGTATTGGACTCTAAAATATGTAAAGTAACCCATGTTTCTGGCAATTATTAAAACTACTCCCTATGTAAGCAGTTATGGGTAAAAGGCCTCTTTGCTCTATGAGAAGTCTAAAAGATAAATGTTTAACTGTTGAAAGGCATGTATTGTTTGTTATTTTATTGCTGTCTTTTTTTCTTGGTTCTATTTTGTGCTTCAGGAATTATAGCTTTATTTTCATATTATATTTTCTTGCTATACTTATTCCTCTCCTCAATCTGAAGTGTCACTTCCAATGCCCTCTGTACTGATGGTTTGGTGGACATGAATTCTTTTTGCCTGCTTATTTTATGTCCACATGGCTCAGCCTTGGACTTTATTTTAGTCTTTGCTCAAAGGTTCTCTTCCCAGTTATACTCACACACATTTTTCTGTTTTCAGGATCTGACTCCCCAACAGATTTCCTCAATTCTTTAACCATCTGGACATTTTTTTCCTACCATGTATCATTTTTTAAGGAAGTATTATATTTACATATTTTTTGATTACTATCATTCCCCCTAGTAGAACCTAAGATCCATATGGGAAACAATGTTGTCTCTTTTATCCACAATGATACACATGTTCCTATAATAGCCTCTGGCTCATAGTAAGTATCCAATAAACGTTTGCATCATATATGAATTGCTCAGTGTGACATCCCCATGCCATTGAAGTACATTTTTAAATTGATGATCATATGGAACTTGTCAAAAACTCAGTTTCTGTGTATATGGCCTTGTGAAGGAAAATCATTTTTCACATAGAGAGGAAACTGAAAAATTCCAGAAGAAAAATAATCTGTATGCTCAGTTCACTCTTCTCAATACCTTGTGAGAGAACTGGAGAAAGCTCATAGGAAAGATCAAATTATCTGTAAAAAGTAATGGTGAATTTCTGACCACAGTCAGGCTACTGAATTTGAACTCAGCTCTAGTAGCTGTTGTTGAGAGATGTTGAAACTCCTAATAACAAGACCTTCCCACTCTCTTCCCTTAAAGGTCTCAGAATATTCTAGGAAATCTTCACTATGGACCAACCCATTAAAACTCATGAACAATTAGGGAACGTATCCAAACTATTGCATTTGTATTCTTTGTCAATGCATTCCTCCATGAATGCAAGGGGAGGACCAAGGTAGTAATGAAGAGAAGTTCAGCCTTGAGAAAAAAATTATTTTTCTAAGAAGATAGTTTACCTACTGTAAACAATTAGGTGAGTTTTATGAGTTACAAGAAAAGGAGAAGTGAGTAGGGAACAATTTTGAGTGAAACAGAACTTGAACCTACAGTCCTATGTAAATATTATATGAATTGAAAAATTAAAGTAACAGTAAAGATATTTTTAAAGCCCTGTCTGTGTGTACACTAATGCACAAACATACACATATGATTCCATGCACATAAAACATGTAAAATTGTACCCTTTCATGCTACTATATAGGCCATTTAAAGTACACAGAACTTTAACACTATGGAAATCTTGTTAAAGTATATGCATTGAGAGAAAGACAACACATTTACAAGAATGTGAGTATTCACACTAAGGTTTGACTGATGTCATATGATGGTTAATCACAGTTTTCAAACTGATTGTAATGACAATTGTTTGGAATTTAGTAAATCTATTTCTGAGTCTGCCTTTGTATTAGAAATCAGAAATCACATTGAACAGCTAGTGAGAGCCAAGACACATTTTTTTTCTAAATCAGTGAACTTCAGTTATTACAAACAATGCCTGTGTGGGTGAGGGGTGAATATTTCTGTCTGCTTTCATGCATTTTAAAAATTATTTCTGCAATTACCTTATTCCAAAAAGCCTAGTAGCATACTGTAGTAAAAATGAAGAAACTATGATGGTGTTGGGTCTGGGTTTGTAACCCAATAGTGAGCATGAATTTAGCATGTGTGAGGCAATGATTTCAAGCCCCAACTCTAAAGTCAAAGTAAGGAAACAAGGCATGAAGGAAGGAGTCAGAGGGAAAAAATCTCAAATTGGGTAGCATAGATTTACTTCTGAGCTTCTTTGATGAAAAAGACAGTAATAGTAGGCAATCCCTCTCTCTGCCTCAGTGTCCTTCCCCAAATGAACAGGATAATAGTAAAAGCTATTGCAGGGATATGAGGGTGCTTTGGCAAGTAAGGAGTAAAAGATTCTAAATTCATCTGAACTCATCATTTAGGGGTGGCCTTGTGTGCTATGAAAATAATAATGTTAATTAAAATGTTTTAATGTTTTTTAAAAGGTATATGCTGGCCCTCTGACTAAACTGGGGACTCTGAGAGTTGTTAGGTCCAGATATAAGGCAATGGATTTGGATTCAGGACAGGACTGCATACAGTGAATTGTATTAGGGAAGGATGAGTAGGCCTGGAATGTGGCTAATCTTGCCTGCCACAAGAAGCAGGGAAATAAAGGATCCTGTGGGAAAGTTAAAAGGACCAGGCATGTGTGTGGACATGTGGATGAACAACATCCAGGTCATATGTCAGAGCCACAAACCCCAATATTCAAAATGTGATATATATTAGTTGTAGAATCTTTATAGGGGAGGGTAAGATCAATTGAGATCATTAGGGTGGGTCTCAGTCTAACATGACTGGTTGGGTTGCATGAAGTGAAGACTGTATACACTGCGGGGGCTCATGTGTCAAGACAGAGGGAGAATATGTGATCAACAATGAAAGGAGAGGAGCCACAGAAGAGAGCAGCTCTGTGGACTCTTTGAATCTACGCTTCTAGGCTCCAGGATTGTGGGAAAATGAATAGCTGCTGCTTTAATACAACTAGCAATGAATCACAGGTATCAGCAAGAAAAAAAAAGTAAACTCTCAAAGAGGAAGCATTGGTGAGAAGACTCACTCAGAGCATGATGGACACCAAGCAGCAGGACAAAGGAAATAGTGAATAACCCAACTGATGAGTAATAGGGACTGCACTACAAAGAACACTCCTCCTCTGCCAGCATCACAGGGGCTTTAAGTCAGACTTGACATCCTCAGGCAGTAAACAGAGAGTACTGAGCTTAGAGCCAGGCAACCTCATCAGATATTTTGGGCTTGGTCAATGGCGCTAAAGGCCCCAAAGTTGCAGAATTTAGACACATTTCTTCTGGGAAATGTTTTTAAGATGGAGAGAGAGAGAGAGAGAGAGAGAGAGAGAGAGAGAGAGAGAGAGAGAGAGAGAGAGAATATAATGAAGTAATGTTATTTGAATCATCAACTGAATTCTCTGGACCCTTGCTGTAGATGTTTGATGTACAATGCCAATGCTCTGGACTCTGGCTCTATGTTCTATGCCCTGTGCATCCCTTCACAGGTAGTCCCTCCATTCCATGAGGCATGCTGGACTGGGGAAGAGGATGTAAGATTCTATTCCTGGAAGACATTCATCTGTGAGTTCAAGTAGGATTGTGCAATAACAGTACATTGTGAAAAGCAAGTAGCCAAGAATTAGCACCCAGTATCATGGAGCTTTTGGAATCTGTTCTGTCCAGTGTCAGTGCTACTGGAATCTGAGATTTAGCCCTTTAGAGGGAAGGGGTGCTTTGGCTCCTTCAGTATAAACGGAGTGTCTGTCTTAGAAGTAAACAACAGTTGGATACATGGTTATGGAAGAGAAATATTTAATAGAGGAAGCTGCAAGGGAGAGGTTACTCATGGTGAATTTGGAAGGGACTTAGAGGAGTTTTGCAGAGATTATCTTTCTTCCCTTCTGTAGTTCCCTTTGAATCTACTTTGGCTTTTCAAGACATCTTGAGGTCTTAGTAACTCACCAATTAGAGACAGATTGAAATGTGTATTTCCATGATTTCCAACCATCACAGTCTAGATATACCTGACTTGTGGCTTATTCTTCCACATCTCTCCTGGAGATCCCCAGTTAAGTCATGCAGAAGTTCCTGATAGACTCTTAGTGCTGGAAATGAAGTAATTCTGCTCTTAAAATGACCCCCTTTGGCAATGTTTTACTGATATACTCATAAATTTAATTGAAGTATAGTCAAACAGGATACTTGGACTCCATAATCCTAGATCCAGCAAGTACAATCTGTGCAATATTCCTCTACACTGTGTTAATATATGTCCCTCTGATTGGTTTAATAAAGACTGGACAATAGCTGGACAGGATTAGGTTAGGCAAAAGAACCAAACTAAGGACAGTGAGAAAAAAGGTGGAGTCAGGGATGTAACCAGCAGATGCAGAGGGAGCAAGATATGCTAGAGGAGAGGTAAAAGCCATGGCCCATGTGGCAACATGTAGATTGAAGATATGAGTTACTTTAGGTTACAAGAGCTGTTTAGAAACTGTCCTAAGCTATTGGCCAAGCTTTCATAATTAATAATAAGTCTCTGTGTCATGATTTATGAACTGGTGGGTGGGAAAGGAATATCCATCTATAGATGACACCCAATGTGGGGTAACTACATCAACATAAGACCCAAGAAAGCTTAAAAAAGTTTCTAAACACACAAAAGCTGAGTCTTGTGCCTCTCATGCCAGCTGCAATAAATACACTTCTCCTTGGAGCTACCAGCATGCCATGGACTAAGCAGCATGGCAGTTCTCACAGTCTTTTACATGGGACGTGATACAGGTAGGTGTCTTCCAACCACTTCTTGTGAGCTTGAGCTGCCAATGAGAGCCTTACCAGTGTGCTGTGTGATGGTTTGCAAGTTTGTTCATGCAAGCAGAAAGGGTTGCAGATGCTCAGTAAAGACAGAGCCAGATGGAAAATAAAACATCTAAATGGGTTACATTGTGTTTTAAAATGTACAAAAGATTGGGAGAGAAAAGAAAAAGGGTATACACAATCTTTAAAAAATATGGTTTTACTGTGTGGCCTGGGCAAGCGTCTCCATGATGGGTAAGGGGACCTGTTGACATCCCACACAACCCAAGTCAGAAGCTTATTTTTTAATAAGAGGGGGACCTGCAGGGCCCTGGCCCCCGTTTTGGGTAACTGTTGCCTTGCTTGTGGACCTTGACATTGATATCCTCCCAATGCTAACTCCCTGCCAGATTCCACCCTCCTGAATGCTTAAGGGAAGTTCCTTGTCTGTGTATCCTGAATAATGGGTGTTAACAGCTTAGATGCAAGATTGTAAAACATCAGTAGCGAACTTCTGCCCTCCGGGGTCCTCCCATTGTGCTGTAAGCCTGTATTTAACCTCCTACCCCCTTCAAGAAATGACATTCGACACTTAAAATTAATATATGTATATATATATATATATATATATATATATATAATTGAATGAATGCTGGGAATGTAATCTATGAATACCACAAATGTGATTAATTTCATGAGTGTAAGTAATGAATATCATGAGTGATGAGTGCAATTTAAAAAATTAATTAATTAATTAAAAAATATGGTTTTGCCGGGCGGTGGTGGCGCACACCTTTAATCCCAGCACTCGGGAGGCAGAGCCAGGTGGATCTCTGTGAGTTCGAGGCCAGCCTGGGCTACCAAGTGAGTTCCAGGAAAGGCGCAAAGCTACACAGAGAAACCCTGTCTCGAAAAACCAAAAAAAAAAAAAAAAAAATATGGTTTTAAAATAACAAAGTCCTTAAATAGGGAGAAATAGGGAGTAAAGTAATAGAGAAGAGCCATGTAAAGATGGGAAATACAGTCTGGATTCTGTAGGTTATTGTGCTATCTTTAAATTTTTTGACTGCTAAGTGACACTGGATTATTAAAGCTGCTAGATTAAACCAACATATATATTTTTTAAAACATCTTGACTTCAAAATGGAAGTCAAAGGTTATGTTGCTTTGTAGGGGAGGTTGTACTTTTACTTGCACAGAAAATGAGAGGATGTGGATTCATTCCAAATTGATATGGATCAGGTTTTGTCAAGGAAGACCCCTGAAAATCCTGACTAAAAACATAAAGAAATAAACCTAAAAAAAGATAAAAGAAAAGAACAAAACATGTAATGTATATTTTATTGGCTCAAGCATAAAACAAAAAATCATTTCTGACTAACTTGTGTTTAATGCACAGTCTATACTTGTATTAATACAGATATGTATTTTACCTTAAATGTTTATGTATTTTCTGAACAAGGATATGAGACACTAATGAAAACAGATGGCCCAGGTCATTCAGCATCTCAGACTGCCTCTGTTGCAGTTTCCTCAGAATTATACATTCAAAACAGCTTCAAGACTGCTGGGTGAGATGGTCCAGTCTCATAGACTATTCCAGCCAGGAATTCAGCTAGGCCTTGAATTTTCCCATTGCTCAGAGACTGGACAACACATAATACAGCTAACTCTCCCCAGACTTGATCATCATCTCAATTTCTCAAGGTCTCTCAAATATCCCAGCACTTCATAACA